ATGACATAGCAAGCCAGGCTTACTAATAGCTTAAGCTAGCTGGCAGAGGTAAGAGTAAAAGATTAAAGGCTGAGCAGGGAGCACACATGTGAGACAGTTCTGGGTGGGATGCTAAGGGGCTGAAGGTGGTGAGGGCGGGGTCAACGCAAGAGCACCAAGTTCAGAGGGCAACAAGCAGGTCGCCTTTGCGGTGAGGGACCAAGTCCTCGAATCCAACCACTTGCCTCCCAAAGAAACCAAGAGCTGGTTGTACCCTTAACTGGGCACATCGTGCAGTGCTAGGGCAGCCTTGCCCTTTCCTGATGATAGTCTCTGACTATCATGCCAAAGCCATGAGATGCTGGGGCAGGGGTGGGGAGTGAGGAGGAGAGACTTCTGCTAATAATATTTACCTAGAAGGCCCCAGACTTGCTATAAGCCACCATAGGCTGCCAGGGCTTTCCAGATCATATTGCCTTCCTCTGCGGATGGAACCCATCAAAACAACCGCTCTGATTCTCTAGCCTCCTTCCCTTCTACTAACCGTTGTTCACCTGGGACAGAGGGAGCTGGCTGCCTTGTGAGCCGAGGGAGGCCAGCAAATGATGCCCAGTCACACACCACATGGTGCACCCAGGCCTTCAGCCGGTGGCTGGGGACGGAGCTCCGTGCGATGCTTTCATTTTCTTCATAGCCATCCTTGCCTCCTCTAGCTCTCCCCACGGCTTCCCAAATATTGCTCTGCCTGGTCATTCTCCTCTCATCTCTCCTGCACCTGTGGTGGGGATGGTGGGCGGGCACTCGGCAACCTCTTTGCAGCGTGCATTCCTGCAGTGCCGAGGCTGACCAGCCAACACTCACTCATGGCCCTCTGTGAGGCGGGGGCTGTGCCTGAGCCTGGGCTTCTGTCAGTGAAGGCTCTGGTGTGCAGGCCAGACTGAGTACAGTCCTTCTGCTCCCTGGTAGTTTCCGGGCAGCCCTGTCCTTTCCCACCGTCCTGCTCGGGGCAGAGGCAGTCCCCCCGCCCCGGCCAGCCCTGTGGTTTTGTTCTCAGCCTCTCCCAGAACATTCTGCCAGCCCTCTGGTGATCTGGTGAGCACCTAACTCCTCATAGTCATGTTTGGTCTGTTCAAAAGGCTTGAGGTTTTCTGTTTTTTTGCAGCAGAACCTTGCCTGACATAGTATCCCTTTTTGTAGGTTTATGTCTACTTCTCAATTGTGAAACCATCTGGTTTTCCACTAACATTGCCAAACGTTTCCCTGAAGAACACCTCTGGAGTGAGTGGTGATTGTGGTCACTACAGTGGAACCTTCAGCATCCCCTCTTTGGAGAGGCATCAAGGGATCAATCATCCTTCTCAACATTTTCAAACCCTCTGGCCACATTTCAGGGTTTCCGGTGAAGTCTCTGTGAGCACCGCAAGGTGTGGAGCTTTGACAAGGTGCTGGAGGGAAACCTAAGGGAAGGAGACTGTAGAGGTCTCCACTTCTAGAGGGGAGCATTCATTTTCAAAGGTATAATTCAAACATTCCGTTTGAGTCTCCCTCAGAGCCAAGGCACTTAGCTGACCCCATTCCTGTCACATTTCAAAATTCCAAACACAAATCGAGGTTGAAGAGGTGCATTTGTATTTCCGGGGAATGATTTGATTATTCCTTGTCCTCTGGAAGCAAAGGTTGATTCCTCAACGACATAAAGGGATTACTAATTTGCCTCATCGAGGGAAAAATCACTTGGATCTTTTTTCTGCCTGAGAATTCACATGCGGGGCATTTTCTTTCCCCCCCCCACCACTTCATTATTTTCTATATGAGTTTTATTCAGAAAATAACATTTTAAAAAATACTTTGAAATAGAGGTATTTTTGCTTTTAAATATCAGGCTGACATTATCTTTTCTACCTGCTTCATGCACTGGGAGAAATTCATTTCAATGCCAAAGTTAGTTTAAAGATCTGGTCTGGCCATCTTTCTAAAATCATGCCTTCATCTAAAGGGGGTGCCGCCTTCTAGAAAATTACTAGCCAGGTGAGCCACAAAAACCACCAGGAGTGTGTTGCATCCCTTAGCTGTTAGGGGGACGAAGAGGTTAAGAATTGTTGCTGCAAAACACAGTGATTCCCACACCTCTTGGAGCTGAGAGTCTCTCCTGGGCAGGTCCCAAAACATCCTGCTCTGTGCAAACATTTTCAAACAATCTAGGCTGCCCTCAGTCCTGGGGCTAAGATCTGCCTGTGTGTTCTGTGTGTGTGTGTGTGTGTGTGTGTGTTTGCTTCTTTATTTATTTACTCATTTATTTTTATATGCAGCCTTTCCTGTAGGGATTCTAACGCGGTCAGCTTTGGAGAAATTAAATCAGTCTCCCAGTGCTCCTGTTTCTACATGTCAAGGAGCAGGTCCCCCCTGATGCTCCCTAATCTGGCAGAAATGACTAGAAATCTGGGCCTGGCTTCAAGATCTCCAGACACAGTAGGAAGAATGACATGCTTCCAACTGACTGACCTGTTCACTGCTGGGCTAATGGATTCTTTTGTCAGAGGTGCCCTAGCATTTTTGGAAAATCAGGAGTTCAGAAAATGAATGCATTGTTTAAAGCCATGACTGTCGTCTTTTCCTCCTTTATCTGCGGGTCCATTTTTTGCTTGAGTTATCTGTGCAAGAATTCTTGTGAGACCTGCCATCCAGCCTCTTCCTGAGATCAGAAGCATAGGACATACAATCATGTGAAGACAAATATACAGAGTGATGGGTTTTTATGGAAGCCCTACTGCATTGTGGTTAAGAGGGGAGGCTCTGGAGTTGGGTGGACAAATGATGTAACTGCTCTGTGCCTCGGGTCTCCTCATCTGTACAATGGGTGTATGGAGGGTACCTACCTGACTGGTGACTGTGCAAATTCCATTAGATAATTCACATAAAAAGACTGTAATAGAGGCCGGTCTATCCTGTGCAGTCAGTAAATGATAGCTACTTTTCATATGATCAGCACAAAAGGCATGGGAATAAGAAACAGGAAGCAACTGCACTCTTAACAGACAACAGTCATTAACCATTTTTAAAACTGGTCCCTAGATGATCATTTTGTCTTAAGGAAGCTTATCTTTGCTTATGTTTTTGAGACCACATGCAATTCTCAAGACATGTATATTTAAGAAAAATCTGTTAGAATGCAGTGGGCTTCCCTTAAAGCAACCTATAACTGGAATATTTATACATGTTTGTGAGGGGTGAGCAACCTCCTTTTAAAAATCATCTCTCTCGGGGCGCCTGGGTGGCTCAGTCGGTTAAGCGTCTGCCTTTGGCTCAGGTCATGATCCCAGGGTCCTGGGATCGAGCCCCACATCAGGCTCCCTGCTCAGCAGGAAGCCTGCTTCTCCCTCTCCCACTCCCCCTGCTTGTGTTCACTCTCTCGCTGTGTCTCTCTCTGTCAAATAAATAAATAAAATCTTTAAAAAAAATAAAAAAATAAAAAAATCATCTCTCTCCTTCTGTTGCCGTAAGTAATGTACTAACAAGGCGTTCTAAAAGTCTTAAGTCACTACTGCAAGTCATGGCATAGTCTATGGTTAAAAAAAAAACTGCACTGTTCTCTTTTCAAGACTAATAGGGAAACTGTCCTATTTCCTCAAACTGTAAAGATGTCTGTGCCTAGAATCTCACAAGAGACCCATTAATTCCAATCTTGAAATACATTAAGAATCCTATCATATACCTTAGGTATGTCTGAGCAAAAGAAGTCCCCCAAACTAGGCACTTAGGAAGAATATTCACTGTTGGTAAGGAGAGATTAACTGGAAAATTCAAATATCTGCTTTTTAACCACAGGCTGATTATCAAATTGCTGACCGGGTTTAGTATAAAAGATATTTTTATGAAGAGAACAATTAATGTTGAGTAATTTCACCCGGAGGGGGAAAAAACGATTCATCCAAAGCATCTAGAATTTTATAAAACTAAACTATCAATTTGTTTTATATGAAAAAGAGAAACAGAAATAAAAGATAATCATGACCAACACAAACATCAAGTTTAAGTGTAAGAAATTCAAATTAGGTAAAATATCTCTGTTTTTAACAGAACAATTAAAATCCCACTTTAAGCTTTTGTGGCAAACAATGACCAATCCTGAGGGGGGAAAAAACCTTCTTGCCTCAAATTAGCATGGTATATTTAAGAAACTGAGTGTCATTTTCAAATTACAACCTCACAGATTACAACAAAACTTTACCCAGACATTTTTCAATCATAATTCTTGATACAAAAAAATTTTATTTGTAACTAGAGAAATGTTTGAGGAGAATGGGAAAGAAATCTTTTTCATAAAACCTGAGTAGGTTTAAGGCCATCTGATATTCTGGGGCAGGGTGAAGCATTGTCAAACACCTCCTGAGAGTAGCGTTTGCATGAGCTCATGGATGCAACTACATTAACAGGATGTGAGCCAGTGGATTCGAGACACCACCTTGTAGCTCCTCATCTGGGGAAGTTTGATGGCATTAGAACAATTTCTGCCATTTGGAGACATGACTGCACATAAGCATGGTTTTCATCATATGAAATCACCAAATCGCTCTGTTGGACATCTGATTATTTCCATGGCATATTGAGGAGTTATGAAATCAGGAACAAATCCAATTTCTCAACACTGTTATGGATTAAAAGAAGCCTGTGTTCAAATGAATTCTAACCCACAGCCGTGGTTCCTACTGAGTTTTAAGGACAGAGGGAAAAAAAATTAAGGACATTTTGAATCGCTGTTGACTTAACATCAATACTGTACTGTTCATAAAATGGTTGGATTTAGAAATCAAAACCCTTTTAGCAAAATTTGTTACTCTGACACATTCCAAGTCATCTTACTCTGCAAAATAGGTAACAAGGAATCATAAAATAGAAAACATTTTAGTGCACTTTTGAATTCCACAAATATACAGTAAAGTGAAACATTATGGGATGCTCTCTCACCTTTGTTTTCAGGGAAAAGCAAAGCCTGTATTCACCTTAGCCCTGCAGAGACTTACATCATATCCGCTATTGCGGATCCCACGCCGGGGTCGCTCCCGAGTCACCAGAAGGTCCATCTCTGTTTCCCCCGGACTTGGGCTGTTCAGAGACTGCCGGCTTCGGTAGACAGAGTTCTTCATCTGTTGCCTGAAGAAAATTCAACAACTGTTATGATGCAGCAAATGCCCTGACAGATGGAATTCTCCACTGATCCAAACTACAGGCAACCAATGAAAGGTTTGGATTTGCCTTGCAGATCTCAGTATTCATGTGATTTGTTCTCTGGCCATCAGAGGCCAGAGGAATAGTGGAATCAAAGTTTGTTTTTTTTGTTGTTGTTTTGTTTTTTTTTTCCCAGATGCTGTAACCATTTGGCTTAATTGTCAATACTCTTCTTATGGAAACCAGGTAATGATAATCAATTGCAACGCTACAACTTCATGTGAAATTCTGCCGCCGGCAAGGTCAGGGGCTCTCCCTTGACCTCTAAACTTGCTTTTGTTGATTGTTGACTCAGCAGCCTGTTGTTCCTTTTAATCTTTCTGATTTCACGCAGGGTTCAATGACGTGTTAATAAACCCTGCGGTTAATGGGCCACTTAATACTGTGGCTGTTGATAGATTTCCTTTTCTACCTTCCCCACAGGGGATTTCTTTCTGGGCTAAGGAGCCATGAACCAAGAGGCAGTGTGGAGCTCAGCCACCCACCCATCCATCCATCCATCCAATATTTACTGAGTGCCTACCAGGTGCCAGGCACTGTAGAAGATGATAAGGATCCACAGTGAACCAGACAGACATGGCCCTGCTCTCCTGGAGCTTCCATTCTAATGAGGGAGACAGACAATTCACATGATTATTTCAGAGGATAATGAATGCTATTACGAAAAATAAGATGTGACAGAGGATGGCTAAAATGGGGGACAATTTTAGAGAGGGGACAGTTCAGCTGAGACCCAAAGAGAGCCAGTCACATGTCAATTCTTACACAGAACATTCCAAGCCCAGGGAGTAGCACGTTGAGAGGCTCCACTCTGCTCCCTTGGGAAAGACATACATTTGTCACCACTGTTTACACTTGCCATTAGAGGAATCTTTTTGAGGAGGAAGAAAGAAACAGGAACGTAACGAGGGCTGTGGCTGTGCTTTTCTTCTTCCACACGAGGCAACTCTTACAAGTGGGGAGTGAGGCCCAATGGGGATGGGTGGTTTCACATGGTACTGCAGCGTGACAAAGGTGGCTACTTCCCTCCCGGCCAACAGTATGTTTCTCTGTGAACAACTGGCATTTCAGAGCATCTGTCTTCAGAGGATTCCCCCAAACACCACCTGTTTTATGTCTCCATCCTAAGATTCTACTCATTCATGGGTTGAAGGTGAAGAGGTTACATTATTTATTCCCAGTGACTATGTGGGAAGCCAGAAACCTGGCAGGTAGACGTATACACACCTTTTCATGATCACACACCCGGTTAGTCATAGCATGACAGTCACACGCTGTTAGCTTAGAACAGACATTAGAACTCCCAAGGCAAAACATTACCCTTGCAATTAGCCTGGGGAATAAAATAGACACGATTAGACCTACCCCTCAACAAGAGGTGCTTACGCCTGTTTAGAGAACCTCTGTGATCTCTGCTTGCCTGATACCCATGATGACCTTCTTTTGGTAGGAACACTGTGATGTTCTTTGGAAGCTACCCTTCCTGCAGGAGTTGGTCTAGAGAATCAAGCATCATATGCCCATGGCCACAATGATTGGTCAGAGGATGGGCACGTTGAGTTGGTCCCAACGAGACTGAGTCTTAGGGCTTTCGCTAGAGCAACCAGAAAAGAGGCATTCTCTTGGCCTTGAAGTTTCTGAGAAGATAGGATATAGGTGGGGGGGTTGTTGGCAGCCAGTTTGCCACTATGAGGTAAGAGTCTGACGAGGAACAAGCAGAGTGATAAGGGGGACATTGTAAGAACCCTTGGCCTTTCATGTTCAATGACAAATTCTCTTTTTATTTAACTGGTTTGTTCTGGATTGCCATCAGTTTCAACCCAAAGAATCCTGACTAATGTAGGAGCTTAAACCTAATATTATAAACTGTGCCCTATGGTTATCTGCTATTAAAAGCTTCCTTTAGGAATGGAGCACAACCTTGTGAAACAGAGTGATTCACACTTTAAGGAAGACCCCCCCCCCACAAAGAATTCTCATCCTTGACCTAATTACAGATCACTCTTTGAAAAAGCAGACTTCACAACTGTCCTGAGATTGCCAATTAACCCATTTAGAAAAGATTTACTAATAAGGGTGGTGGGGGAGTAAACACTAGGAATAGCAATTGACATTTAAGTAGGCTATTTTGGAAGTATTAGAAATACAATAGCAGGACTGTGTGAGCCCTTTCAAGAACCATGAACGTGGGTGAGAACTTAGACATTGGGGTGCACTCCAGTCTCCTTTTACATTGAAGATAATGTTCCATTATGAAAGCCAGCTTAAAGGCTGCTATTTAACATGGATCTCAATGGACCAGACCACTCATGTGTGCCTGGTGCGTAAGCAACTACTTAGAATTAAATTAGGCTCTTGGGTAGAGAAATTACTTATTTTAATCAAATAGAGTTCCCTTAGGTATATTCATTTCTTGTGGCGTTTTGCTATATTCTTTAAAAGTTAATAAATTTTGAAACTTGCAAACTTGAAACTTTTTTTTTTTAACCTCTGAAAACATTGCTGGGTGGATAGCGATAAATTTTATTTGCACTTTTAGGGGCTTTTGCATCCGAGGATAGTTTAAGAAAGTAGTTCCCAAACTGTGTTCTACGGAAACCTAGGTTTCCATAAAGATGAAATGTAGCCACTGAGGAGGAGCAGCTCTGCTTCCATCAAAGTAACTCCATCTTTATGAGTTATTGCCTTAGGTTGGGTTCCCCTGGAAGCAGGCTCTGTGATGATTTGAGTACAACTAGTTTACCTGGGAAAGGGTTCCAGGAAGCACAAGTTGGGAAGCGGAAAAATGAGAGAGAGAAGGGAAGGACGCCAATAGAGGGTATGAACTAGTACTTTGGGCAACTGGGGCTCAAGCTTACTGGAGAAGTATGGGGAATAGCTGCATTAAAAGGTAGGTTTTACTTTATTTAGGTGTGGCCAAGATCAATAGATCAGGAGGCCGCTGCCATGGAAAAGAAAGCTTGTTGTACTCACCATTCCAAGGGGAAGGGGCCTGCCGCGGGGCGCCCCATGGGGAAGCACCAGGGTCAATCACAAGGCAGTAGCAGTGAGGGGGAAATGTGGGCAAGAGGCTTTCTTGTGCTTTCTTGGGGAAGGAACAGGCAAGGCAGGGTGAACAGGCTTCGGTGTGGATTGGTGGAATCATTCCAGCCGTCTCTGGGGCAGAGGGGCTGTTCCTAGTTGTCCGGTACCCAGCCTGCAGGTGATTAGGGCAGGGGGATTGGAGCCCAGAGTGGGAGAGCCCTATGTGAAGGAGAAGGTTAGGGCATTGGCTCTGGCTTGTTTGGTTCCCACATAAAAGGCGCACTTGCAGGAGAGCCCTGTACTGTCTCAGAAATGGCTAGATGGCCCTGAGAGGGGCAGTTTCTCCAGAGTCGGCCAGACCCCAGATGTCAAAGCCTCAAACACAGAAGCTAGAAAATGTGGTTATTACGACAGTGTAGTTTACACCTCAGAGTTCTCCCGTCAGGGTGTTTATTCATCAGCTCGCATCTGCCATTGACTGAAGCTGCTCGGGAGCACATTAACTACACTGCATTTCCGGTGGGGGCTGCTGGGAAAAAGCCCTCGGATGGCAGTCATAGATGCCTGCAGGAAGTAGGATGCTGCTGGATGCGGACGCACAGAGCAGTGGGAGCCAAGGGACTCTGTGGGGAGGGGGCTCTGCCAGCATCTTTGTCAGTCACACGACGACGTCCTTTGTGCCTCTGGATAAGAGTTTATAACATAAAAATGGGGGTGTTCTTCTGACTTTAAAGAAAAAGCTGTGAAGATTCTTTCAAAAGATGTGGGGATGAGTCAACATTTGGAACCTAAATGATGTCTTTGATTTGATCTAATTGAGGTCTCAGGGTAAAATCCTGGTTACTGATGCTGTCCCTGGACTGGAGGTAACAGGTAGCTCCAACGTGTGAGAACAGACACCACACACTTGGCGGCAGCCCCTGGAGTCAACGGCAGAGTGTGACAAGAATGACACCTCAGACCTTACCAAGTCACCGTCATTCTTTTTTTCTCTGTGAATCCTTCGCTTCCCAGCCCCATCCCTTGCTGAACTCATCTCCATTCCTATCCCCACCTCACCCAATTTGTGGTCTTACATATTTTTCCCTTCACTGGCTGAAAACATTTTAACATTATTTTTTGAGTTATTCAATCATTTCTTCCATAGACATTCATGGAAAATGGACTACACACTCAGAACATCAGCAGGCCAGCAAAGGGCCTTGAGGATCCGGCCTGAACTTTTGCTGGGCAGTGAGGATGCATCTTTATGGGGAAAAAAAAAGTTGTGTCCATTCTCCTTATAAAAAGCTTCAACCACAATTTTTTATGTATTTCCCAGATAATGTCCAAGCTAAGTTCCTCTTATTTGCACATGATCTTTGATTAATTTTCCAAGTGGCAGCAGGAAACCCGGGAAAAACAAACCCCTGCCCTGGTCTATAAAAGACTGCTGAACTACAAAATCCCCAAGTGTGGCATAAAAGCTAAAGAAACCGCCAGCCTTCCTATAAAATCCATACCCTTCTTCTTTTACCATTACCAACATGGTGACACATGTATTGTGAGCCCTGTCAAAGTGTGATTTTTGTAGCATTAGCTTATCATACTGATTGAATCTAATTAGAAGCATGGTAAATGAAGCACTGGTTTAGAATTCCCTCTTTATTAAAAATAAATTATGTCAATTCCATTAATAAAATTGAGCCCCACCTCCCAGCTTGATTTTGTGGCTTCCATCCAAGCCTGTCAATGGCTGCTCAGGCCAGGAGCTGTCCTGTCTCACCCCATTTGCGGAGGGTGCCTCTGCCAATACGATGTATGGTGTGGATTAGAGAGCTGGCATGCCCAAAGCCAAGGAGCTGTTGCCAAGGAGAATGTATATTTGAAAGGGATGGTCTCAAACCATGAAAGTGCTTCCAAGGAGGTGCTTTAGGGTGGGGTGGAAAAGAAGAAAGATGGTCATGTTTAGCTTTGCTAGCCTCTTCCCCTTTACCCAGTAGGTGAGATCACTCTCTGCTTAGTTAGCAACAAAGCTTGGCATATTGCTGGGGTACCTAGGTGCTCAATCGGTTAAGTGTCCGACTCTGGATTTCAGCTCAGGTCATGATCTCAGGGTTGTGGGATTGAGCCCTGCGTAAAGCCCCCTGTGTGAAGCCTCCGTGCTCAGTGGGGAGTCTGCTTGAGATTCTCTCTCTCCCTCTACCCCTCCCCCTGCTCACTCTCTCTCTCAAATAAATAAATAAATCTTTAAAAAAAAAAAAGTTTGGGGATGATACCAATTCAAACCGCTGGGCCTGACCTTCCCTCTGAGGCCAGAGACCATCACATGGCAAACACCCATTGCACTTGTGAGTAACAAACTTCTGGGATAGTTATCTTTTTTCTCTCATCAGACATTAAGTCCCACGAGGGTGGAGACTGGGCTGTCTTACCCACCATAAAATGCTGAATGGGTGGAATGAACGAATGAATGCATAAGACAAAGCATACATGACCATGAGAGCATTCAGCAGCTTGCAAGGTGCCTCATACATAGTAGGTGATGATAAATGTCAAATAAATGGACAAATCTATGAATTAAAGAGATGAACCCAGCACAGAGCTCTGAGTAGCTGTGCAGTAAGTACTTACTGAAGCTGAATGAAAAGGTGAGGCATGAAATTTGCATTTCTTATGCAAGAGCCACTAATTAATTGAAAAATACAATGGCCCTTGATCTGGAAGTTGCATAACCAGGTAGGTGATAAGTATGTCTTCACCCAACTCTGAAATGGCTACTGGTTTGGAAATATTATTGACCTAAAGGACAATTATGGTTGTTTGCCCAAGTATTTTTTTTTTTTTTTTTAATGGCTTCAATTTTATTTTTTTCTAAACTCATTATGGAGCACCAGCTCACACATACCAGCATGGTCCAGATCGCAGCCAGCAAAGATCACAGTCCTAAGGTAACAGAGCGAGGGACCAGGGCTGTGTTACCCAAGGCACCCTCCGCCTTCATCCCACTAACAGTACAGGGACCATCAGAGAATCCCTTAGACACTGTACCTGTTTTTAGACTCAGCAAATGGGGCGCCCAGTTCTGGGTCTGGATCTAAAACATGCTCGATTTCCTTTTGGGTTTTCTCGTACATCTTTCTCCTTTCTGTCTGAGCCTTGCTTGTCTCCACTGGGGGGAAGTCGTAATAGCCCTTCCTCTTGGCTTTGAGGCGCAGCTTGTTCCGATAGTGCTCGATGTCTGACTTCTGCTTCAGGGCTTTGTTCACCTGGGGAGAGAGAAAGTCTTAGGCCCACATCCAACCAGGCATGGCCAACAGATGGGAGGTTTTCATCAGGTCACAACTCCTGTAAAAGTTGTCCTAGGCTTCACCTCTGGTCCTTTGAGCCAGCCAGACCCACCTGTGTCCCATTCCAAGACCAGCCCACAATAGTGAGCCACAAACAATATGGAGCCTGACACTCACCTAAGCCACTTGGACCTTCCATCACGGGCTCCTTCTCCCTAGTCTACCCAAGTCTGCTCAGGCCTTTGTAGTGTTGGGCTAATCCTACCTAAACCCTTTTGGTTTCCCTGTCTGGGAGCTTCTGACTTGAAAGCCCAGCTGCATCCTGGTGCCCCACTTCTAGCTCCAGCCCTGAGGAACCCAATGTCCTCCCCTGGCCATTTAGCTGATGCCCAGCTGGATAAGACAACCAGTTCCTGAAGAGGTTGAGTTGGGATGAGTGGAGGGAGAAGGCAGAGCAGACATCCTGTTCCCAAGGTCTCTCTGCTCTACCAACCTGCATTTAAGAGCTTATTTTTGTCAATCTGTGTCTTTCTTGAGATATAGGTAATTTTGAAGCCTCGTATGGCCGCTCATGCCAGTTAGTTCCTACTGGATAGGGCAAAGCCACTCTGGTCGTATAGAAAGTAACATGGCCAACACACCTGACCTGTCAAAGATACAAGCAGATGCTACGCTAAATAAATAACAAACAATAAGGATGTTACACCCACAAACGGAGCTGACCAATGAAATCAGCCTGACACCTACTGGATGATATGGAGGACCATTAAGTGCTGTTTGCAATCAGACTGGACTATATTACTATAACCATGGATAGTGTTGTTATTATATTCTCTTTAAAATAATCTTTAAAAGAGTTTTCTGTAATTCATAAACAAAATTCATCCAGTGATAAGATACAGATTAACCTACAGAATGAGGCACTAGGTTCACTAACACAAGGCTCCACCTTAGATGTTTTATGTCTACAGCATATTTTTTCTGACTTTTGCAAAGATCTCCCCACCCTGGGCCCTAATGATATTTCTAGGCTTGTAGCATTTCACAGGTCTTAACTAGTCAAGAGAAGAAGTTAGGATGACATCCTCTGACCCAGGAATCCCATTTCTGGAATCTCTCCTTAAGCAATATTCCAAGAGAGCCTCAAAGTCAGAGATGATTACCGATCACCAGTAATCAGACATATCAGTATCAAGTGCTTGATACCCACAAAAGGGCCCATCACCCCTGTGGTTATGCGAAAAATGCATAACTGCAATCCAATCATAAGAAAACATAAGAAAACCCACACTGAGGGACACGGTCCATGATAACTGGCCGGTATTTTTCAAAAGAGTAATGGTCACCAAAGACAAAGAATGGTCACAAAGAAGGACTGAGGAACTGCCCCAGACCAGAGGAGACATGACTAAATGCTGTGTGGGATCCTGACCCAGATCCTGGAACAAGAAAGGGACATTATGGGAAAACCAATGAAATTCAAATGAGGTCTGTAGATCAGTCAATCATAGAGTACAAATGTTAATTTCTTGGGTTTGATAATTATTCCATGGTTATGTAAGATGTTTACACTCGGGGTCTCTAGGTAAAGAGCCAATGGGGTTCTCTGTACTGTTACCGCAACTCTTGGGTAAATCTAAAATTATTTCAGAATAAAAACGTTTAAAAGTCGAGCATGAAATTACTCAGATAAAATAACCAGAACCAAAACTAAAACCAAAAATTACCTGGAAGATTTGAACAATGGGTGATCAGTTTTCCAATCAATGGTATACCTCCTCAACTAAGTCATTAACAATGATCATCCCAAAGACAATAGCAACAACTGCAAATGTTTAAGATATAAGATATAGGGGCACCTGGGTGACTCAGTTGGTTAAGCGTCTGCCTTAGGCTCAGGTCATGAACCCAGAGTCCTGGAATCGAGTCCCGCATCGGGCTTCAGTGGGGAGCTGGTTTCTCCCTCTTCTTCTGTCACTCTTTCTCTCAAATAAATAATAAAATCTTAAAAAAAGATATAAGATATAAAGTTGTCTGTATGAGATTCTAAAATATACATGAGTTTGATCTAAAGTCTGGGGAGAAGGTACAGAAAATGAAAACAGGATATGTTAGGGTAGTGAGATTGATTTTTCTTTTTTCTTCTGAACATTCTATGTGGTTATTATGTTTTCTTTAAAATAATCTTTAAAAGAATTACCTATAATTCATAAAAGGAAAATTTATGGCTTTGAGGTTATAGTTTCTTCACTGAAATAAGCCAACCATAAGACAAGAATGAAGAAAATTATAAGACAATCTGCCTTAAATGCTACAAAGCAGCAAATTACAGAGTACAGTTCAGGGCTCTTTGCCAATCCAAATGCCAGCAAGGTCCATTCCTTTAACTACCAAAATGTAACAAGTATCCATTTCTGGACAGGCAAAATGCTCATCTGTGTTCCTTCTGGGAGAGGGTGATGGGTCTGGCAGAAAGAGGGAGTTGTATTTAAATTTAGCTGAGATCTAGAATATGTCCCTGTGACATTCACATCACGAAGCTGGGGTGAAAAGATCCAGGCATGGCAGCCATTATCTAGGTCCATACTGGGTAGACATCCTAATCAAGAGCAGTTACCAGTTTATTAGTGACAATCTCAGAGGCCTCTAATCATTGGCTTGTGTGTCAGGTGGTAGAATTGTACCTAAGGAAAGATTCAGTGGGTATGATTGGCTTTGAGAAGACATAAAGTTTCCCAAATTATAGAACCAAGGAACATAAGATGATAAATGATCAATGAATCCTTGCTCATTGGCTGACTAATTAATAATAATAATAATAATAATGTACTGATTGTGTGCTAAGCACTGTTCTAAGTGTTTCACCGATATTAACTCATTTGATCCTCCCAATAGCCCCATTTTACACATGGAAATACTGAGGCATTGAGAAATGAACTAACCTGCCTAAGGCCACATAAATAGCAAGTAGAAGAACTTGGCTTCAAATCCTTGCAGCATGGCTTGAGAGTCTGTACTCTTTTAAGCACAATGTTATTTTTCACTGACGGGCCACAGTAAGTCAAAGAGAGGGAAGGAGCACTGTACAGGGAGCCAGGGGGCCTGAACATCATATCAGGGCTATCACAATAACCACAGTGTGATTCTGAGCAAGCTACTTGACCCTCTGGCCTCAGTTTCTTTGTCTAAAATATGAGGAAGTGGAAAAAAAAAAAAAAACTATGAGGAAGGTGGCACAGAAGTGCTCTGTAAGTCCATAACCAGTGAAGTTCTTTTTAAAAATTGATGACCCTTGGGCCTCAGGCCCCCAGCCCCACCTCACCACGCTGCCCCACTGCCCTGTGCCCTCCATGGGGCCGGGCCAGGCCCCTGCCCACACTGCTGGCCTCCCCTGCATGCAGATCTGCAGCAACCCATGCCTGGGTCTTCCCAGGTGGGAGTTGTCCTCCCACCTCCCAAGAGGAGGCAGAAGGGATACCTGTGGCATAGCAAGCACCCCCCTGCATTGCCTCGCTGATCCAGTCCGCACCCTATCCGTCCGGTCCGGGCCACATCCCCCTCTTCAGGAAAGACTAGACGGGGCTGGGAGGGTTCCATCCGCCACAACCTCTCCTCCAACTGATGCTTCTGCAAGGTGCCTAAAGATCCTGTGAAGCTCTAGGACAAGGGCAACGTCTGGGTGGTCACCGTGAGCCTGATCCGAGCCCAGGTGCTGCGGTGGCAGAGCATGGCGCCGTGCGGGGAGCGTTTGCCAAGGACCTTACTGGCCGCCCAGTGCTCAGCCACCACTCGGTGAGGGCTTCAGCATCAAGTCTTTGCTGGGGGCCCCTGGGACGGGGTACCATGGAGCAGCCCAGGTCCAGCCGGTTCTGGGTGTAGGAGGGAGGAGGCAGTGCCCACTCCACTCCTGCCCTCTGAGCGGCCACTGGGGCCCCTCTGCCCCCTCCCCAGGCCCATCAGAGCAGAGGGGGAGACTTCCTGGGGGGGGGCCCATCCCTCTCGCCTGAGCCCAGAGCCTGGCCCCGCCACTTACTGCAGGGTGCCCAGGCCCTGAGGGACTGTCTGTTGGGAGTCACAGGGCCTCACTTTGGGGCGCTGCCCACCGCCTTCTTGTCCATCTACACTCGCAGTGTGGTAACACCCGTGGCCCCACTACCACCCCACATTCTGCCCCCAGTGCTCACCCCTTCAACCAGCCCAGTCTACTGGGGGGTGGCCCCTGAAGCCCATGGCCCCCCGGGTTGCTCTGGGATCTCGATGCTCTCTCCTCCAGGGGGTGCAACTCAACAGGAGCTTCTGTGATGTGTGGGTCAGCCACTCCCGGGACCCGGCTGCCTCCACCCCAGGCTGGCTCCTCTCCTGGCACAGCCTTCGAGGCTCCCAGCGCAGGGGTGCTTCCCTCTCCCAGCCTTTCCCGCCACCATTGGCTGGCTGGGAAACCAAAGCCGAGAGGACCAAGAGGTGTCTGTGGCCACAGCAGCCTTGAAGCCCGAGGCCTCAGCAGTGCTGAGAACCCATGACGTTTACCGGACCACCCCACAAAGGGCTGGGGTTGGCCCCGCACCGCCCTGGCCCTCACGCTCAGTCAGGCCTCGCCTACCCCCAGAGGCAAGACTGGAAGGAGTCGGGCTTTGCTTGGAGTAGCCCCTTCCCAATCCCACTTTCTCTGGCCCTCTCAGTCCATCTAACCTTCCTTCCTTCCATCCATCCATCACCATGGGTCGCTCCCTCTTCCTGGCTCCGGGCTGGGCAAGGGAGAACCTGATGGTGGGTCCAGCCTGAGCTCCTGTCCTCCCACATCTGCCTGGGAATGAGGTGGCGCCTTTTTGGGGAAAGGAAATCAAGACTCTCCTTGGCTTTGGTGGTGGTCCTAGGGAGGATAACAGTAAAGGAGTAGACCCCTCCTCCCCCCAAAACTGATGAACCTCAACCCATCACACCTTTAGGCCAGCTCAGTCTAGCTGTCCTGAAAGCAAGAGGAGCTTTCTGAATCAGG